GGCTGCCCCTCTTTCCTCGAAAAGAGAGACAAACGAGAGAGGAGCTTTTTCATTGGAAAACGCTCGCAGTGAATGCAGATTGCACCCTCGAGGACATTGCGTGCGTGCTCTTCGCCCAAACAAACAACGCATAGATCGTGTGTGTCATCAGGTGTCAAATAACAACGACATGGCTGCACACATCCTCTACACGCTTTGCTAGTGCTCGCCATAATGATAGGAATAGAGATCGCTCTTACCACGGAATGCATGCTTCAAACAAAACAGTCAGTGAAGACTAAGAAGAGAATGACGTGTTCTCCCGGCGCCTATTTATACTATAGTCGCACCGGTAGTGACGGCATGGGCTGTCGCCGGCCAACGTGTTGTTGGTGTTTTTTGAATGTATGCTTCAGACACGGGTCACGACGAGGCGTTCCCCATAGCGACCCCTAGAGGATGCAGTTCGAAGTTCCCTTGAAAGGGAACTGCTTAGGCAATAGTGACCTCTGATGGTGAGGTGACAGTACCACTGTTTTTATGACAGAAAGAAAAATGAAAGAGACCCAGCCATAAGCAGATCTACTCTAGTGATGTGTTGCATCCACATCCAACCATAATAAAGTAGTACAAGTCATTAATAACATTAACAGACCAACAAAAATGTATGTTAAAGCTTATAATAATCCATTAAATTTAATTCACCAAATGAAAGTTAACAATAATGATACCTCACTGAATAAGTCAAGAAAGATAAAATTCTAGACTAGGCCTGGGCAATAAAACGGTTTCGATATTTATCGACGGTACACCTTCTTCGATATCGATAGAAAAATTGTTCGATATAGCGCAAGGTATAGGCAGGTGCTATGAGTGACGCAGACAGCACACACAAACACGAACACATGCTGAAATGAGTGCTGTGCCTGCCTGTGATAAGGAGATTGTGAATAAAGAATGAATATTAGTCGAATTTAAAATATTTTTTTAGCTATATCGCCCAGCCCTATTCTAGACATTAGATTAGATAAAATTTTTGCCCCGATTTGCTGTCTGGGAAAGTTGACAGTAGTTGCTGAATGTCATCCAGTCTGCAGATTATGTAGTATATGATGGGGTTTTGTGTGTGTGTGTGTGTGTGTGCGTGTGTACGTGCGTGCGTGCGTGCGTGCGTGTGTTATGTTCCAATGATGGCCATTTTTTCTGTAGCTGTTTACAAAGTTGTGTGAGATGCAAGTGTGTGATGCCTAGTGTTTTAAAATCTGTTCTTAAACAACTGAAGTGCATTACTGTATTAATATTACCATTGAACAATATTGCAACAGGATTTTACACTTTCAGACATAGCCTTTCAGAAAAGACCAGCATTAAAGTTTATCTAAACAGTTTTCTATATTGTTTTTGATATGTTTTTGTCATAGGATCGTCTGTATTTCGTGATGGAGTATGTTAATGGTGGTGATCTGATGTACCACATCCAGCAAGTGGGCAAATTTAAGGAGCCACAAGCAGTGTAAGGCACTCTCTCATTGTGTTTATATGTCTTCAATAGGTATTTCTGGGTTTGGACTTTAAAGCATATATCACTTTATGTTTGTTTGTAGATTAAGGTGAATTTATGTAAAATAATCTGCTTGTTGCAGGTTCTACGCTGCAGAGATTGCTGTTGGGCTTTTTTTCTTGCACAAGAAAGGAGTCATATACAGGTAGGGTTGACGCCTTCAGCGAGGCAAAATAAGGGACACCCATTCCCCCCATGCATTCCTCTCTACATTAAATCTAAATAATTTAGAATTTTTTTTTCAATTTTTTAAAATGTTGAATTGTATGTGACATATATGCTTATTTATTATGTATATATTTATGATTAATATAAATGATAAATTAATAAATAGGGTCTAACATTAATTATAATCTATTAAATCATCTGTCTAATAATGTCTAAAAATATAATAATTATGTCTATCAAGCTCTAACAGACTATCCAAATTTTATTTAAACAATAGGGTTATGCCTTTAGAAGCACAGATGTGTCTGTCACTTTAAAGGTATGGTTCACCCAAAAATGAAAATTCTGTCATAATTTACACAAGTTGTTCTAAACCTGCAAGTTCTTTCTTCTGTTGAACACAAAAGAAGATACTTTGAAGAATGTGGGTAACTAAACAGCTGCTGGTCCCCAGTAACTTCCACAGTAGAGAAAAAATGCTATCAGAGTAATTGGGGACCAGAAACTGTTTGGTTACCCACATTCTTCAAAGTATTTTCTATTATGTTCAACAGAAGAAATAAATTATTACAGGTTTGGAACAACTTGTTATGTAAAATAATCTGCTTGTTGCAGGTTCTACGCTGCAGAGATTGCTGTTGGGCTTTTTTTCTTGCACAAGAAAGGAGTCATATACAGGTAGGGTTGACGCCTTCAGCGAGGCAAAATAAGGGACACCCATTCCCCCCATGCATTCCTCTCTACATTAAATCTAAATAATTTAGAATTTTTTTTTCAATTTTTTAAAATGTTGAATTGTATGTGACATATATGCTTATTTATTATGTATATATTTATGATTAATATAAATGATAAATTAATAAATAGGGTCTAACATTAATTATAATCTATTAAATCATCTGTCTAATAATGTCTAAAAATATAATAATTATGTCTATCAAGCTCTAACAGACTATCCAAATTTTAATAAAACAATAGGGTTATGCCTTTAGAACAGTGGTTCTCAAACCTGTCCTGGAGTACCCCCAGCCCTGCACATTTTGTATGTCTCCCTCATCTATCACACCTGATTCAACTCATCAGCTCATTAATGGAGACTGCAAGACCTGAAGTGGGTGTGTCAGATATAGGGAGACATACAAAATGTGCAGTGCTGGGGGTACTTCATGGAGAGGTTTGAGAACCACTGCTTTAGAAGCACAGATGTGTCTGTCACTTTAAGGTATGGTTCACCCAAAAATGAAAATTCTATCATAATTTACCCAGGTTGTTCTAAACCGGCAAGTTCTTTGTTCTGTTAAACACAAAAGAAGATACTTTGAAGAATGTGGGTAACTAAACAGCTGCTGGTCCTCAGTAACTTCCATAGTAGAGAAAAAATACTATCAGAGTCATTGGGGACCAGAAACTATTTGGTTACCCACATTCTTCAAAATATGTTCTTTTATGTTCAGCAGAAGAAAGAAATGATTACCGGTTTGTGGGAGTGTAAACGATGACAAAATTTTCATTTTTGGGTTAACTATCCCTTTACGTCAGACAGTCCACCGTGAGCAAATGCTTCTCTGCAAACTGCGCGTTCATCATTAGTTACTAAACAGACCCATTGATAACTTAACCATTCAGCCCTACATATGGAGAGTCATGTGTTCAATGGGCGGACGTAAGCGCCTCGATTATGGCCAGCCAGAGTATTCATATACGTCTGGTCGGGCGTCTGATTGTACACTGACACGTCAAAAGTGTGCGATTTGACAGCAAAACGCGCGTCCTCGACGTGTGATTTGCCATAAAAACACACATTGTTGACACGCGCTTTGGAGTCACCAAAAAACGTGCGTTTTTGACAAATGGGCATCAAATACGTGAGTTTTGAGCCGGACAAAACGCATGTTATAAACGTGTAAACAGGTAAACCAAACAGGCAGTGCAAACGTCTGTTTGAAGTGTCCAAACAGGCGAAAAGAACGTGCTCTTTCCTTAGTGTTCTCAAAACTGCACGTCGAAAGCGTGTGCTCACTTTATAGGGCTTGAGTCTAAAAAAAGTGTTATCAGATTAAATCTCGCATAACGTTCTACTAAAAATGATATTTATTTACTTCAGTACTCTTGTCCATTGATGTATGTTGGAAAGACATCAAGGTAACTAAGAATAAGAGTAAGTGAACATAAATCATCTATTCGAAGACATGATGTTACTTCTCCAATCGGCAGACATTTTATTGATTGTAACCACGATAATAGAACAACTTAAATGTATATTGAAGATGTGAAAGTATCTCACCGTGGTGGAGATATTGACAAAAAACTTTTACAAAGAGAAGCAATCTGGATGTTTTATTTAAAGACAATGTCAACTTTAGGTTTAAATGAGGATTTTGACCTTTCATGTTTTCTGTAAAAAAAAATATCTCTCTCTTTCTGGGTACAATGTTTATAAACAGCATTTTTTTGCCTGATGTACTATTGTTCTCTTTATTTAACTCTTGATGTTTAAGTGTCTGTGGATTGATTGATTAACAATAATCACCTGTTGTATGTCGTTTGTTAGCCTATTTAATCATTAAGAAGCAAAGAATTGTCACACGAAGACAGATAGCCGAAACGTTTGTCTTTTTATCTCCTGCTTTGATTCCAATAAAAGACTTAAAGAGTGCAAACCAACTTTTGTAATATGTCGTTATTAAAAATCTAAATATAAAATATAAAAATATGTTGTTTAAATGACATAACATCTCGTCATTACGCCTGAGAGGAAAAAATTATATGTATGTGGCAGCAATGCCTTACCGTAATACCCCATATAGCGGACAAAACATGACAGACTCAAGCCCTATAAAGTGAGCACACGCTTTCGACGTGCAGTTTTGTGAACACTGAAAAGGGCTTTAACGGCGCGCGTTCTGGAGACTCCATCACCGCCATGGAAACAAAGACACCAAGATGAGCTACTCTAACTTCTTATGAAATTAATTTCATTATAATTGCTATTAGCATTATAAACGGTGCAAAATACTTATTTGTGGATTCAGCTTGTTAGCCTTTGTAAAATACGGGACAAAATCGTGTCCCGTATTGATTTGATACAGTACGCATCATTTTACCTTTAAGTAGGGGGCGATTCCGTATTTTAAGGGACGGGTGGCAGTGAGCACACATAAACTACACATTCAGATCCAATTCAGACCTTTCTGTCAATAGTTTCAAAGTGTAAGGTAATTGGCTTTAATCAGCAGATTAACATTAAAGCAATAAAAATAAATAAATAAATAAACAAACAAACAAACAATGACATTCCGAGTAGAGTTGCAAATAACAGGGTTGCAGATTTTGCCTAATTAAGGGATAACCAGTGTGAGACCAAATATTGATTTTGTATATTTGTTTATTATTTGTATTTTATATTACTTTTTAAACTCACCTGTCTTTCCACTAAAGGGTCCAAATAGTGTTATTTCTTGAAGGTCCCATTTTAAGGAAAATGCTATATGAATTCTATGATTTAAAGGAAAGTGCACATTATCTGGTTAGATAATAATTGAATTATATATTTTTTTTTTTTTACTCCAATAACCTGAATGTCAAGTTATTTTATTTTCTTAGACAGCTGTAAAGGGCATTTGTGTCTTTAATTCATTAAAGAATATCATATTAACCTATTTGTAAAATGTGCTAAATATTGCCATGACTCATTTCAAATAACACTATTTGGCCCAACCTTCTACCAGTAATTCACTTAATTCTGTCTCTCTTTAGGAGCTAAACCTAGTTATTTGGCTTGTTTTTTTTTTGAGCGACTAAATTGGCCTAGGGAAATAGAGCAAACAGATGAACTGACGTCAGCAGGAATGAAAGAGACAGAGTCCTTGTTTCAGAAAAAAAAAACACTGCACTTGTTTTTACATTAAATAAAATGAACTACATTTTTGTTGTGCTTATGCGTGGAAAAAAAGAGCAAGATGAGTTTGTTTAGATTAATTTTTATATAAAAATATTTAAACAGGAAGACAAACGTCTTTTTTTATGTAACCCCATCCAATTTTCAGAATCACCCTGTCTATAGTCATGTACTGTTGTGTTATTTTTTTTATCACTTTCAGGGATCTGAAATTAGATAATGTCATGCTGGATGCAGAGGGTCATATTAAGGTTGCAGACTTCGGTATGTGCAAGGAGAACATTGTGGAGGGTGTGACCACCCGTACATTTTGTGGAACGCCAGACTACATTGCTCCAGAGGTGAGTGACGGAGTGTGTTTCCTGCGGGCAGTAGCAGTCCTCCCAGACTGACAGCTAATGCTGAATGTAAATGTGACTTGCAGCAGTGCTTAGAAGACCCTGAACATGTGATGTTTTCTCAGAGGAGGTAGTACCTCCTCAGAATATTTTTGGATGAGAAAATAATCCACAGGATGAAAATGTGTGTTTTTTTTTTTCCACAGTGACACTGTCCAACAGCCATATTAGCAGTTTAAAAAGGAGACAGCATCTCTTTAGCCTTCCTTGAGCCATATGAGTTCCAAATGGCTCCCTATGAGTTGCAGCAAGTGGTTGATTTTTGACTGAAACTGTATAAAATATACACTAAGTAAATATTTTGCCTCCTTATTTCAAATGCTACTGTCACATGCTACAGATTTTAACAATTCTAATTCTAAAATTGTAATTCTAAAAGAAAGTTTCAGGAGCAGCAACTTCATTTAATACTGTCAATCATTATTCAAGAATATATAAACAGCTGCTTAACTCCTAACCATGACATTTCTTCTGGCATTTGGCCCCACTAATTTGATAATATTTTTCTATAGACATTTCACATTTCAGAGGTGCTCTCAAGCGGAAGTTGTCATAGTTGGGAAAACTTCTATAGTGACCCAGAAACAACAACAAATATAATTTTTGTGTTCCTATGTGCTCCAATAGCAAAAGACTAAATCCACAATGGCATTTCTATCACTTCACAAAAAAGGGGGGAAACTATAGAGAGAATGATTACATTGGTCGGAAGAGAGAAAGACAGCAAATTTGCCATCAGTCTCTCAACAGCTGTATTAGAAACTAGTTTTCTGTACATTACATTTTTAAAAAATGAAAATATAAAAAACTATTTTTGCAGCATGTGCGATATTAATAATTATGGAAATGCGTCATCGCAGTAAAAGCGGTCCATTGCAATTTATGATGCACTCTAATAGAACCATTTTAAACTTTTTGCAGTAATGGAAACCACCACTTTTCAGTGCTTTCTTTCTTCCCTTTTTTCTTCATACAGATCTTTTCATATTCAGAGCAGAGCCTAGTGTGAAGCTGTCTTATTTCTCTGTGCCGAAGCTCCTCTTCTCTTAACCTTTCTTCCCAGAGCAGGCCTTAGCATGAAGATGCCTCCACAAGTGACACATAAGCTCTTACAATGCAGGTTATCTGTGGCACATCAACACTTCATATTGATGACCTTTATCTGCTCTGACATCCTCAGACACATATTCTCTCTCTTTCTCTCTCTGTCCCTCTCTATGTTTTTTTCTTCCCCAAATATTCAAACTGTACTGGCATGACATGACAGTGGGTGGCAGAGTTGTCTCCTACAGCGATTCTTTAAAAGTCATGCTATAAAGGCAGCCACAGTGGTTTTCAGACTTCTTCACACACAAAAATGCAGACCCTTTGTATCTATATTTTACTAAACAAACCCTCCCACATAACCAGACCTAGATTGCTGGTGAATTTTTGAGAAACCAAATCAATAAGTGTAGCAGTGGCTGTCAAAGTTTGTATATTAATGTCCTTGTCATCCTCATAATATTCTTACCAGCTCTATGACTAGAATCTGTGACAGCGTTTTTTACTAAAACTACTAGAAATCATAGCAACAATAGATTAAAGTCAAAATAATGAGAATAAAGTAGTCATGAGTATTACGCTGTAGCTTTTTTGTTATTAAAAAATGACCAGTGTGATATTAAAATTTTCCTTTGGCATTAAAACACTATCACATGTGTCTGTATGTTCACACAGATATAGCACACTCACAGTTTTGCTTTCTGAAGCTGCAAAATGAAAGAAAAAAAAAGTGTGTGTGTATTTGTGTGTATATTAGTGGACATTTGTCCTGCACCCTTTTTTGAGAGCATTACTCTCTCTCTTTCTGTCTCTTTTGCTGACCTACATATTATGCAGGGGTAATGCATGTTATCTGGGAACACGTTGCTGCATGTTAACTTGAGTGTAAAGTGTGTCAAAGGTAGAGCAGCAGTAACACACATGGCTAACCGTATTTTTGTAACACATTAGTTTTCATAGTGAGGACCTCCCACTGAGTTCATAAAATAAGCTAATTACAATTTGGTCTGTTTCTTGCATTGTCAAAATATTGTTAGTATAATATGATCTCTATAAATTCAAGAGGAATAAATGTGAGGAGTTTAAATCCAGTCTTTGACCTGAGCCTTTTTATTATCAGTTAAATCTGTTTACTTTTATCACTCACTGGGATTAGATGTGATTAGACGATGTTATTAGAACATGTGCACTTATGAAGTGTTATAGAAATTACCAGTGTGAAAATATTTTTCTATCCATTATTCTGTCACTTGCTTAATCAGTTTGGTTAATAATTAAATTGAGAGATGATATCAGTGGATGTTTATTTGTTTTCTCCTCAGTAATTGTTTAGTCTGAATTTGACATTTGCGCTGCACACCTCAATTAGCCTGTGTGTATATAGGATGTGTACTGTAGTTACGATTAGGGATACGATTTATTTAGTGTGTGTGTGTGTGTGTGTGTGGTCCTCGGTATTTTGAAATATGACATCTAGAGCCACGAACAAAACCTTGAGCGGCTACAGCCATGATCTAGAACTGTCACATAGTGTTAGCGTGATGCCACATACAAACACACACGCTCTGAATGTGCTGTGAACTGCATCAGCCAAGAAAGCTGACTGCATGCTGTATTAGCAGTGTGAAATTTTGGAATATACGGCACAAAAAAAGGTGTGTGTGTTTTCATTATTGATATTTTAAAGGCACACACACAATACTTTCTTACACCCCACACACCGAACTTCAGTTGCAGTCTTGCTTGGTTTATTAAATAAAAGAACATTTTAGGTTTTGTTTTACATCTGGGTCCCTTTCATGTTAAAGAATTACTAAGTTCAGGGCTGTGAAAAAGTAAGTACACAGTATGGTGATATACTGTACCAAGGTCATATAATTTAACAAATACCAATATTATCTAACAAGAATATGTCTTACCGTACACAGATTTGTGAATCAGTTTTTGTTTATTAAATATTTTGACTGGAACACAAAACAATATAATACAGTATATTTTTATAATTTATTTGTAGTGGAGATGTGTGCTTCCAGATGGGAAGGGGATTATGGGGAAAACTGTATTCTGGAACAGTAGGGATATCTTTGTTGTTGTATGCTGATCTTTAATAGTAATCGGTAGGGTTTTTTGTGCTGTCTCTTTTCAGATAATAGCATATCAGCCGTATGGCGGTTCTGTGGACTGGTGGGCCTATGGAGTCCTGCTGTACGAGATGCTGGCAGGACAGGTGAGTACAGATGTGTATAACCATCAAGTCTTACATTGGCGACTGTTACCTTCTGCCAATATTATAATACAGGTGTAGCTTTGTTGTAATACAGTTTGTAGTGGTCATGTGTGTTTGTATACTTTTAAACGTAATTTAACAGAAATGATCCACGTAATATTGACACCAGCTGCTGTACCCACAGATGATCTCTGGGTAAAATATAAATCTTCTCTTCACATCCACAACCTGTTTTTCATAAATTGAAATCAAACATATAGTACCAGTTGTCAGTGATGTATCAAGATGGAAATATCATGGTACTTCATTATATACTAAGATACACTTTCATAGTATTTAAATGGTGCTATAAGGTCCTTTAAACAATACCAAAGTATAATCATTTTGTCCAAACATAATGATCTTTTGTACTTGTTTTTCTCATGGTATATTTTATGCTACCACAATTGTACTTTTTGTAAGAGTGAGCTTAAGGTAAATTCTTTAATGCCACATTGTGCAAGAGTATAACAACCCACATATCAGGATAAATGCTTAATAATATTAATTTTAATTTCAATTGGAATGTTCTTTTTTTCTCTTCATAGCCTCCATTTGATGGTGAGGATGAAGATGAACTTTTCCAGTGCATTATGGAGCACAACGTCTCCTACCCTAAATCCATGTCCAAAGAAGCAGTTTCCATCTGCAAAGGGGTAAGTTCTGTCACATAAAAACACAGTGTCCCAGGTTGTAGAGCCCAACTGAACCAGTACCAGGAGAACCAGGGGCATTATTGCTCTCTAGTTGGTTAATAACAAGGAACCAAAATTCACCAGTGCATTATTCTTCTATTTTAATCTTTGCCTCTGAAAATAGTCGAAGACTTCTTGACTTAATAGTTACAAACTTTGCATTCTCCAGAACAATGGATGTATGTTTTCTGAAACCAGAAAGAAAAAGTTTAGGAGTTCATTTAATACCATTTAATAGAAATGCACTGACATTTGATATTAGTGTATCTTAAATTACATTCATTGAGAGTTACTCAAATGTATATAACAAAAAAATGTCTTTTGTTATCACTTCTGTAAATCCTTCATATTACATGAATCTGCTCAGAAATTCACTGCCCATCAGAAATTCACTGCAGGAGCTGATCCAATTTAGATAAAAGCACACGAACCCCGGTTTCATTTTTAATAAAAGTCTTATCAGTGTTCAGGTTGCGTTTGCTGTGCATGCAGTGTGTTGCTATTAGATTCAACTTCAGTCTGACTAAAGACCAAAACTTAAACTATTTTGCCTTGCTAGATTTTTAGAGTGAGAGTGAAGCAGACCATTCCTTTTTTACTTGACCACTGTGGTAAATCAGAAATATATGTTATTTTCATCATTTTCATTAACTAACATGAACGAAGACATGACTAGATTTCTTACTTTCTCTTTAATATAATTTCCAGAACATCTCAACACTTTGTTTTCAATGAAATACCTGTAAGCTACATCCCTGACAAACAAAATACTGTGGCAGTGCCATGGTAAAGTGATGGTATCAGATGGCACAACCATAGTTCTAAATTCATGGACTATGTTATGTATAGAAATAACAGATGCATTTTATAATGTAGCACATTCTGCATACTGTTTGGAAAAGTTACAATATGAAAAACTTATTGTTAATAGAACATCTCAAATTTTGTCTGGCATTCAGTGCTCATTACACTGTTGCGTAATATTTCATTCATTACAGACAAATTCAATTTCCAAAATTTTCTAAATAATATAAAAATATATTCAATAATAAATCCCTTGTTCTTTTAAGAAGTACAAACCAACATACCATTTAGCAGAAATAAAGCAGTTATATGACATCTGAACACTCACATTACATTCTCTCACCCAAACCACTCTTAAATTACCAGAACTTCTGAGTTTAAGTGCAAGTTGGTAGAGCCTGAATTTATATATTGTTCTTTTGCATTGGCATGTAAGGTTCACTGTTCTTGTTCAAAAAACTAAAAATAAAGTATCTTGTTCTGAATCAAAAAACTGGGGAAAATGACAGGGGGAAACATTTTTTTTAAGGTATTGTAATCATTGTGAGAAATAAATTCGTTTTTTTTTTTTTTTTGTCACATATAGAATTTTTTCAGTATACTTCAAGCTACTTTGAGGAATACCACATTAATACCATAATACTTTTTGCTACTTTTATTGTAAGAACATCCTGTTAGGTTGAGAAAGAGATAATGGTGCAAGCAGGACGCAAGCTGATGACTTGCGACATCACACACTGTCTCACTTTTCAATGTTCTCTATCACCTTCTGTCTTTCTGTCAGTGGTAGAGGTGTAAGTTCATCTGTTTTCATTTCTGTGTGTTTTGAAATTTGTGTGTGTGTCTTATAAACTGTGCCACCTACTAATGAATACATAGTGGCTGTCAGAAGCTGACCCAGAAAAGCCTGGGACTATAGAGGGATAATGAATTAGAAATGTATCTGAAATCAATTTTCCTGGCAAATTTAAGTCAGCATTAATCATTAAAAAAAAGAAAAGAAAACTTTTCTCTTTAGTTAGCAGGCTGTTAAAATTAGTGCTACTTAGAACTGAATAGCTGTTGGAATTGCCAAAGTTTGTAAAGTTCTTTGCATCTGTGAAATATTCGGTAACAGTTTAATTTAAGGACCAATTCTCACAATTAACTAGTTGCTTATTAGCATGGATATTAATAACATATTGGCTTTTTGTTAGTACTTATAAAGCACATATTAATGCCATATTCTGCATGGCCATATTTTAGATTCCTTAATCCTACCCCATTAAGTCAGCATTAATCATTTAAAAAAAGAAAAGAAAACTTTTCTCTTTAGTTAGCAGGCTGTTAAAATGAGTGCTACTTAGAACTGAATAGCTGTTGGAATTGCCAAAGTTTGTAAAGTTCTTTGCATCTGTGAAATATTCGGTAACAGTTTAATTTAAGGACCAATTCTCACAATTAACTAGTTGCTTATTAGCATGGATATTAATAGCATATTGGCTTTTTGTTAGTACTTATAAAGCACATATTAATGCCATATTCTGCATGGCCATATTTTAGATTCCTTAATCCTACCCCATACTTAAACTTAAATGGTAACACTTAAGTTTAGGGACCAATTTGCACTATTTACTAGTTGCTTATTAGCATGCATCTTACTAGCATATTGGCTGTTTATTAGTACTTATAATGCACATATTCTCAATGACCATATTTTAGATCCCTTAATCGTACCCAATATTTAGATGCCTTAATCGTACCCAATACCTAAACTTAACAACTACCTTAACTATTAATAAGCAGCAAATTAGGAGTTTATTGAGGCAAAAGTCTCAGTGTAATAGTTGTAATAGTAACAAGTAATAGTTAGTTAAAAGTGAGAATTGGTCCCAAAACTAAAGTGTGATCAAATATTAAATCTGTATGGAGTACAGATCTGTCCAAATTTTCAACAAATTGGTTTCTCTAGATTATTGGGGGTTTGTATGAGGGACAAAATGTCTTATTAATATAGCATATTGGAAGAAAGAGCATGTATTATATAAACATTTAAAGCTTTACTATTTGAGTTTACATTTTAGTTTTAAGCCACCTCTACCACCATTCACAATACTGTCTCAAGTATACTTACAGACAAACAGATACCACCTTTTGATGTGATGAAAACGTATTATTTGTGAAAAATAATTATATTTTTCTTTTTTAAGAATATCACACATGGACAGGATTTTCAATAACACTTTTATATAGTTTTCAACATACATTTGCCATTGTCTGGAATTTCTGTAGAGATTTATGCGTTCAGTTTACAGTCTGAGATTTCCTGATGAGTGTGTAACTGTTGTCCCTTCTGGCCTTTATCTGCAGTACAGATCTACTATGACCATGGAGAATGAACATATTAATTTGAGGATGTCTTGAAGGTGGTTAGCTTTTGGGGTTATCTTTTTTATGACTTCACATTAAGAAACTATAAAGAACCTATGAACATTTACACTTTCATAATAGACATCCATATGCAATTAAACCTAGAATAATTGTTGACAAAATGCTCATGTCCATGCAATTTGTCTACCCCTATTTGACATTGTGTTATCATGAAATTTAAAGATGAGCATATGCATGTAAACTTAAAACTGAATATATTATATGCCAGTTTTTTATGATTGTCACATTAAGCTTTTTCCTGTTTAGATGATGATGATAATGATTTTATCTTGTGTCTCAGCTGATGACAAAACACCCTTCAAAACGTCTGGGCTGCAGCCTAGAGGAGGAGAGAGATATTCGGGAACATGCTTTCTTCCGTCGGATTGACTGGGAACGTCTGGAAAATAGAGAAATACAGCCTCCATTCAAACCCAAAGTGGTAAGAAAATCCATGCAGGTCTATTCGTGTGTATTTATCTTATACTGATGAAAAAGCTAAGAATGCTCTTCGACTGAAAGTTTTTATGGGGAAGTGGCCCTGAAAAGGCATGTATAAAAGTATTTATGGTGATTCAGATTAAGATACTAAGATACAGGAGAGTAAATGTTGTTGTATTTATTTTTGCCAGAAATTCACTTTTAAAAAATGATGACAGTGCTTCAGTTATTATAGGATGGAATATTAGCGCCTGTATATTTTACTTATATCTGTGATATCATGATATAAAGTTATATGATGTTAATATAGCAGTCTACTTGAACTACCAAAACCATTTTTATTTAAGAATGTACTGATAATGATAATACAGGCAATACAATATGTGCCCTGTCAATAAAATAGTAACTCATAGTCTTTACTTCCAAAATGATAAAAGTAACAATAACATAACAATCATGACAGTATTTTTACAGTAAAATTACAGTAATATCACTGTATATGGTAAAGTAACTTTATTAAGTATATAAAGTTAACCAAATAACAATTTTTATGTAAAAATCACACAAAAAAAATACACTGCCAGCACAAATGATGACCTCTCTGACACTAATGTGTAATCATCTGCATGTCCTGATGAATGCTTGTTATTGCTAAGTGTAATTTCTGTGCCTTCTGATATCTGTTCTAATAATTCTAGTTTTCACTGTTTTTTGGTGAAACGTGTTATGAATTGGTAAGTATATAAAGTTAACCAAATAACAATTTTTATGTAAAAATCACACAAAAAAAAATACACTGCCAGCACAAATGATGACCTCTCTGACACTAATGTGTAATCATCTGCATGTCCTGATGAATGCTTGTTATTGCTAAGTGTAATTTCTGTGCCTTCTGATATCTGTTCTAATAATTCTAGTTTTCACTGTTTTTTGGTGAAACGTGTTATGAATTGGTATTGCTTTTCTGAGACAGCGCCTGTGGAGGAAGTGAGAATATTTTGCCAAGATACTAAAAGGATAGAGATAGAGCCATTTGTCATATTAAATAGCTTAGATTGTCCTTGGTATGGTTGTGTGTGTGTGTGTGTGTGTGTGTGTTGTATGAGTGGGAGAGAGAGCGAGAGAGGGATGAGCTGCAAAAGCAGTCTGCATACATATATATGACTTCTAAAGTGGGTCATACTGTAGTTGTTTCCCCTTCGCAAGCACACATGCTCTCCCACACATATATCATTGAATAGGGCATTATGTCACATCACTGGGGACAAAACAGAAAAGAAGAGAGGGGTTAGTTTGTCTTGAGTATTTGTGTGTTTCTTATGATGTCCTATTTGTTTAGTGTGAGTGTGTTATGAACATCACCTGTCAGTTTTAATATTTTTGTTTGTTTGTTTGTTTCAACAATTGTGTGATGTCCCCTGAGGATATCCTGAAGCTGAACTGCAGCTTCCTCTCATGGTCAAAACTAGGCCAGATACAGACCCAGGCCAGTCCCTTTCACACTAATGGTGGGGGCTAAACAGGCTTAATTCAGCACAGCTACCATTTTAAACATTTAGCCAATCATTAGTTCCACTGCTGACGTAGGAAGTGCCCTACATGGACCTCTGTGTCTGAAAAATGGCTTTTTATTGTCTCCGTGTTTGTGTGTGATGATGACAGTTGCAACTTTAATTGAACTGCATGCTTGTTAGAACACAACTGTTCCCTCTCAGTTTCTCATCATTCACATATGATGGGAAAATCTGCCTCATAAGAGAGCATGACACAAGCATTTACTTTTGACCATTTCTCTCAGTGCTTGAGTCACCATTCATCTCTCCTTTCAAATATCATACAATGAGAAGGGGGGAGGGAAATCTTCTATTTTAAGGCACATCTTGAGCTGCATGTCTTATGGAATCTGGCAGCTTTACAAAAGGAAACACCATATTCTTTCTTTCTTGCTTTCTTGTAACTGTTTTTGTTTGTGTGCGTTAAATTTGGGAAGTCAGGTGATTAAATATATTACTTAATTACATGATATGCCAATTAATTGATAAGTTTAATTGAAATTAGATCAGTCTACTCTATTTTTTAGTTGTTGTTCTATGTGCACATGCATGAAATGGTTGCTGTGTCACTTTTCGCTGTTCTTAAATTGCTTCGATGGAAGGAAAATTCCTTTACGTACAAGGCCATAATTAAATGTGTTAACTTGGTTAACACGTATAAATTGACAGCCTTCTTTTAAACACTGAGTTAAGTCATTACAGGAAATGTTGTTTTTGTATTAAAACAATTTAATGAAAACCCTAACAAGAAGGGTCTGAATCCTGCACACCGTATAACCCACACATGTATATATCATTGATAAGGAGCTTTGAATCATTTATTCGTCATAATAATAGGGTTATTATAAATGAGCTTCTGGTGCTTTTTCATACACATGGTATGGAGGTTAAAGAAAGGTATTAATGTGCCGTGGATTCGTGAGATGTTATGATAGGTTTCATGTTTCAAGTGGTTTTTTTTTTTATGTTGTTGCATATAAAATGGTTTTATTTCACAGTAAACAGATACACACTTTTACCCATATATTACCCAAATTACAGAATAATAAAGGTATTACCTCGTTATCCCTTTAATCCACCAAGTGTTTTTAGAATATCCTCTTTTTTGCCATAGTAGAAAATATCCTGGGAACATGAGAATATTTTGTGCGTGTGTGTGTGTATCTGTTTTGTTTTGGTAATGAGGGATACTATGAGAGGGAGAAATATTTAAGTGTTCAAAGCTCTAATTATGTTGTTCTTAAACTCATTGTCTGCATATAAGTAAATACTGAATAGTAAATGTTAATCTCTGCTATACCTGCCGAATTACCTTTACATCATTATGTTTGGATTTATCATAATTGATTGTAAAATGTAACACCGTTATGCCATTTTCTCCTCTTGCTGCTTCAACATTTTGGTTATACTTAATGATACATGCTATTTAAACAGTATAAGAACCTTTTAATGCCAATGGTGAAATTTCTGTGACATTAGGGCAAATTTACAACTGAGGGAAAAGAATGAAAGTGAGTTTGCATTAATTGTTAAAGGGGTAGTTCACCCAAAAATGAAAATTCTATCATTTTTTACTCACCCTCAAGTTGTTCTGAACCTGTATGAGTTTCTTTCTTCTGTTGAACACAAAAGAAGGTATGTTGAAGAATGTTGGCAAGCAAACAGTTGGTAGCCATTGACTTCCACTGTATTTTTTCCCATACTATGGAGGTCAGTGGCTACCAGCTACTGTTTGGTTACCAGCATGAGTAAATGGTGAGTAAATGATGACAGAATTTTCATTTTGGGGGGAACTCTCCCTTTACCATAAAACTGAGGTTGAATTATTAGCTGGTTTAAATGTTTTAGTAACTTTCATAGTCCAATTTTATGATTATTGTTCCTTTTAAATGTGTAATTTTGTATTAACCACATCATTACACAGTCAGCTAATATAATGCTATAATTCAGGTAGATATTTGTGTAATTGTTGTTATCATTGGTGTGTACTGTTGTAAACACTGTAACATGACATGGAAATGACCTTGTAGTTTGCATAATGAAATAGTTTACAAATGTGCTTTCGCCATTCGATTTTCCAACTGTACTTTGTCAAAACACCTTTGCTTTTGGCTGTTATGTGTGACCTAAACGGATTCCATGGTTTTAAAATGTGAGCTGATTGGCTGCTGTCATCCTACTATGGTCTGAAAACTTGCATTTGCTTGCATGTTTTGGTATGAAAATCCACTTGAAAATATGTGTGTATTTATGAAGAATGTTTTGTTATCAATGGAATATAAAATTGAGATTATACGCTTATTACAGCATGGAGTATGAACAAGGCAGATGCGTTTGAAATATTTTTCTCCTTTCACTTATTTAATAACTCTGAATTTCAATTATTTTAATGTCTTGATATTGTAGTTTGTGATTCTGTATGTTCTTCCCATCTTTTTCTGCTGTTAGAAGTAATGCAAAGTATGTAGTAAATTTCAGAATTAGATAAAAATCACACATGCGATAATCGGCTTGGTTAGATTTTAGATCACAGGTGTCATTTTTCTTCTAGCACTAACATACTTGCCAGTTTAATGTTTTTAAACAGCAAATATATGGAAATGTGGCACCATGCCTGTAGTTTAGATTAGCTCACTTCTGTCTTCTCTTTTTTTCTATGATTTATTGATGCTGATCCTGCCGTAAAATCCCTTCAGTGCTAAAAACACCTTTGTTGAAATTGTATGCAAACTCCCATCTTTCTTTTCTTGGGTCTTTCCAAAAACCTGCTTTGTGTCAGTGCCATGCTGAACCCAGCAGGACCAGCGTTGCACTAACTGCGCAGCCACACCGATGTTTGCCAGTATTGAATCCAGTATTTTGTGCACTAGTCTCATGTAGCCATACTGTTAACTGAATGCTGTTACTGCTCTTGAGATCGCAGTAGAGCATCTTTTGCTCTGTGTATCTGCCATTCAATCATGTGCACTACCTTGGCTGTTATAAAGAAAGTTGCATAGCCATTAAAAAAAAAAAAAAAAACAGGTTTAACATGGCATGCTTTGAGTTTCCTCTATTGTATGATGATCCATCTGCCTTACCCAATTATTTATATTCCTGTGCTGCTGAATTAATGATTGAATACATGAACAAATGGATGAATGAACTGCTAATATTATTGCTTGTTTCTTTCCTTAAGTTGTTTAGCTTTCCCTTGAAGGAAAAGTTCACCCAAAAATGGAAATTCTGTCATTTACTCACTCTCATGACGTTCAAAATATGCATGACATTTTTTTTTCTTTTTGTAGAAAACAAAATAAGATATTTTGAAGATCGTTAGTAGCCTGACAGTTTTGGTTACCATTTTATAAAAATTATATATATATATATATTATTGAGATGTTTATCAGGATATATTCTTCCTCAGAAGAAAGAAAGTCATACAGGTTTGGAAAGATATAAGAGTGAGTGAATGACAGAATGGGGTGAACTAATCTTTTAAATGTGCCGTTTCTGCTTCTGTAGTATATTCAAAGTCTATCTATTGTAATCAATTTTAATTAATTCTTTATTATTTTTGATACCCAAATTACAAAAACAAGGTGGAATTACCTTTTCCCAATTAGTCAGCAATTCATGTTTGTTCCGGTACTATTAAGTTTTGTGTTTGTTGAAGAGAAGAGCAAGAACTTTGCTCCTCGTTTTATCATAATATTTTTTCATTACTTTGTGTTCTTAATGTTCAGATTTGTTAGTACATCACTCTGTTGTCCTTTTGCTTTGTGTGACTCAGTCCACCTGTTTTATTTTCATCTGTTGAGTTTTTCATTTAGAGGACAAAATCAACAGAATGCCTTACTTTGCTCTCTTTCTGTCTCTCAAATAGCAAGGTCCAGAATTAAACCCAAAGCACTATCTCTGTTCTTACATACTAATATTGATCCATAACGTATAAATAAACCAAGTAATATGTTGTATTTTGTAGCAGTGTATGTTAGCCCTGCCTTTGTTGTCTTAACAGATTATATGCTTTTTCCATGCAATCTTTGTTGCCATTTATACCTAATGTATGATATTGCAAATAAAGAAGGGAAAATTAAACTCGGTCTGTAGATGTCCCTTCTTGAAGATGAAGTTGACACTGACTGTGGTGATCTGTTATGGTGTCTCATGCACCAGAGCAGGGTGCAGATAAAATTTTAATGCTAAGAGAGTCAAAAGAAGCATAAAATGGTAATTCTGAATATTTTATCCAGAAGCTCAGGACATTGTCAGTCATCTTACCAGAACATTTCCAACGGGAGTTTTTCCCTTGACACATCACAGAAGAATATTTTAATGTAGGCCTACTGTTAACACTCAGTCAAAATTCCACACTGCTATGGATTAAAATTAAAACTGCAAACAAGTTTTGTATGTGTGTCTGCTTATCCACTGTCAGAAGCATCTATGTTTGGGTCTTTTACTTATCGGTAATCCAGTTATTCCTAATAAAGCAGGACACTCATCTCCCCACAGATTTTGCACAGACCATCTAAACCTCAACATCCATAATAAAGTCCCAAGTGGTGCGTCCATGGACCATTTACGTCCGTGTTGCATTCATCCATTTACGCGAAAGAAAACGAGGCTGTGAGGGATACATTCTTTACAATGGCATGCACTGCCTATAAAGGTCCTAGATTCCGTAATTTTCAAAACTTTAAAACAGAACAGTTGTCATGTTGTTAACAACAGTACAATCCACTAAACGCTTTGTAGTTCAATCCCTTGCAGACTCGTTTTCATTCTTGACTAAAGTATAAACTGAAGGTTTCAGATTTACCCGACCTTAAACATCCATCTCATAAAAAAATTATGTCGGTTAAATTTGTTGTTTTATATGTCGGTCTGACAACCCCGTAAAATGGAACTTGGCCAGAATGCCACGAAGCGTTCCAAACTTTATGGCTTTAGTCAGCCTCTGCAACGATAACACATTACCCCAAATACAACATCCATAACAGTAGTGACACAGCAAACAATCATCTATCTAAAACCAATAAAACAAGAGCAATGACACAGTAGGCTACGCATACAAACAGTCGTTGTGTCGTTGTCAGTCCGTGACCCGTCAGTGACGTGCGGAGAGAGGGAGAGAGATGTTAGAGCATCACAAACATTAAGCCCAGCATGATGTGAGACGCTTCTCACCCTAAACATGTGTGAAGGGTTTTAGAGGTTCGACTTCAGCAAACCTCTCTGCAATTAGATAAAGGCTGTTGAACATTTGCGTGAGAAGAACTGAAGAACGCGCGCTACAAAGGCACGTCTCAGCGCAGGTATGTGGAACTACTCTGTTGTGTGCGTTGTGTATTATAGCATTGGTTAATAGTGGAGTTCGTGTGCAGATTTAGTGCTGTAACATTTCATAAGACTCGTTCAGATACCACTAAACATCATTGTTATCCACATTTTCTTGTTAAAATTCTCACTGTATCAGAAACTTTTTTTCCATGGATTTTATTTGCTGCATGATTTTGCCAATGCTGTTTTTGTCAATGAACGCAAATGGTGGAGAAGTTGGATTATTGACGTTCTGTGCGATGTCTGAAACAGTGTGTCTCTTGAAGCCATAGTATAAAACATATAACGGGTCCTTGAAGACAAACAACACCTTGTCGAGCAGCCAGACTAATAAATACAACAAATAAACGTTAAATAGTTTACTGTCAATACAGGGAGAATTTGATTATTTAATTTTATTACTTAAAATATATTTTTTAATTAAAATAAGTAGTCTATATGTATGAAAAATATACGCACAGTACACTGAAGAGAGAATTAATGATGGCTGCCACAGCTCACAGTGAATGCTGTCGTTGAAAGCGGGTTCACAGCTTCAGTACCAAGGACAGTTTCTCTCTCTCTCTGGGAGCCTCTGAAGTGGGCTAATAGTTTGCTGTCATTTCGAATTTCGCTGCGTGGATTTTCCCCTCTCAGTTTTACGCTCCAATGTTATATATATATATACCGCAACATGCTGTCTCATATGATTATTCGTTACTCTAGCATTTTTAGTGTAGCCTACAATATCCGTAGCGTGTTTTGTATCGTATAGCCAGAGCTGTATGGGGCGACAATTTACCAGTAACCTGTTTATCTAACGTACCTCCACTGATTGTAATAAGAGGCTATACTCTTGTTCTGTCAAGTTTACTTTTGTAGCTTTGTTGTGGTGCATTTTGTATGTACACTGTATATGCATTTATTGTTTATATATCAAAATTACATACAATTTTATATTCAGTGTATGTATATAAATGTTTACATAATTTGTAGAGCACATCTGTTTGTCACCAGATATGTCTGCTTATCCGCCATATTTATGACTATATGGCAGCAAGAACACATGAATAGAAATACCAAGGAAAAAAAAGACAGAGAAAAAAATTGAATTTATACCAGGTGTCAGAAAACAAACACAGGCGTTGCCAAATTTAACATTCACAGACATACATATGAGCAATATCATATCCCAGGCCCTGTCCCAAATGGTACCCTAAACTATTGCGTTCTTCCTCTAAATCCACACTTTTGTGACATAACGCCGCTTTTACTGTCAGGTAGAAGTTTGCTGAGGAGTTCACTTCAGTGCAGGCTCAGCAGATGTGCACATCGAGGGTGCATAGTAAAAGCTGATGAACTGGACACCCTATATGGTCTCGTGGACTAAACAGACACATGAATGTGGTGGCCATTGTAAGTCCGCAAGGCCAGAAGTGCACATGAAGTGTGCCATTTAGGATAGGGCCCGGTTGTGTAATATGGCTAGAGGGAATGCAGCAGCGTCACTTTCCCAGTGTTTTAATAGCATTCAAGCTGATTATTAACAGTGGGTCCAAACTGCCATACTTACAGCAACAGATGCAAAGCATCCAATACGTATATCAAAAATATGATTTACACACTAAATCCCAGCACAATGTGAATTTTAATTGCTCACTGCTATTTGTTGCCACCTGGCGCTTTCTGCTCATCATTTGCATAGTTTAGGGACCGCTCTCCGGTGTTTCTGAAGTGGAGGGACACGCCGTGTTTCAGGACGAGCTTGTCCGGATTCTCACCAGGGCCGTGAGCTATCTAGGTCTGGAGTGGGAATCCCCCGATGAACCAGCTAAAAGCAAACTGGATTCATGGTTCCTTCACACGGGCCGCCGAGCTGCCTCTCCAAGGACGCGAGCCCCGTTTTTCCCCGACCTGCACGACGAGGTCGATAAGGCGTGGGCTGCACCCCAGTCGGCTCGCACCGACGCCCGTCGAGGAATCCATCGCAGTGCACCTCTGTCCCTCGTCTGCCTCTCTGAAGGCGGGTGCTTTGCTGCCGTCGAGGCCCTGCCATCTGACCGCTCACATCACAGACAAGGCATACACCGATCTCAGCGCTTCACACAATGGCGGTGCTCCAAGTTTTTCAGGCACAGCTCCTGAAATCCCTCGATGAGGGTGGAGCGGATCCCGAGGCCTTTAAGGATCTTCGCGCGGTGACGGGTTTCGCACTAAAGGCCACGAAGAAGACAGCTCAGGCGATTAGGCGAAGCATGGGCTACATGGTGGTGCTCCACCGTCATCTGTGGCTGTGAGCGTTCACGGAGCTGAAAGACGCGGACAGGAAGACGCTACTCAGCGCTTCTTTATCTCCCTCCGGTCTCTTTGGAGACACTGTGGAGGCTATCGCGGAGCGCTTCTCTGAAGCACAGAAATGCTCCAAAGCAATGAGCCACTTCCTGCCGCGCCGGGCTGCAGCACAGCCCCCAGCACAGAGTAGATCGTCGTCCGCTTCCAACCGGCCATCGAAGCGGGCTTCTGCTTCATCGGTGCCGGATCCGGAGCCTGCTGCTCGCACCAAAACTCTGTGGAAGAGGGCACCAAAGGCGCGACACAGCTTCAAGAAACCGCCCAAGGGGCGCTCCTTTGTCGGAGCAAAAGCCTCGTTCCTGACGGGAGAGTACGGAGGAGGAGTTCGCCAAGCAGTGGGCCCGCCGTGAAGCGTCTGAAACGTTCTCACAAAGTCCCCTTGGCGGTTGCAGTCGGCTGCGAGAATGTTTATGTTGTGACTGTTCAGAATGCAATAAAATCTGTTACACCCTCACAAAAAGATAATTTTTCTTCTCTTCCAGTGATAGCAGCTTCTCACACTCGGCGCTCGGCCAGGGAGCCGGTAATAAAGTCGGGCTCGCAGCTCCTCTGGGTAACCCGCGATGCTCACGCCCATGTATTAAGTATCAGACCTCCGCCGCCGCGGCTTGCTCTCGACACTTCGCACATACACACGTCTGTGTCACTCAAACATTCAGGGGAGGGCTCGCGCTTCCCGTTAATAGGCAATGCACGACCTAAGCTACCATACAGCGCTCCCATTTGTCCCATGTGTTTTCTGAACGCATCCCCGGCATACAGCGGCGTTGCTCAGAATACAGAGGGTGAGGTGCTCCGCCCGTTGTGCCATTTTGCGAACGCATGGCGGTCCATCCCATGGCATTTCGGATTGGGTGCGGAACGTTATAGAGAACGGCTACACGCTTCAGTTTCGGCGCAGACCACCCCGGTTCAAGGGCGTGGTCATGTCGACAGTACCGGCATGCAACAAGTCGGTGCTGAGGTAAGAGATTCTCAACCTCCTCGCAAAACGCGCGATAGAAGTCGTCCCGCCGAGCGAGAGAGCGGGTTCTACAGCCGCTACTTTGTCATTCCAAAGAACGTTGGCGGTCTCTGTCCAATCCTAGACCTGAGACCCATCAACCTTGCAAACGCGCTTTCAAAATGACAACGCTGAAACGGATCCTTGCGCAGATTTTGCCTGATGATTGGTTTATTTCAGTGGACCTGATGGACGCATATTTTCATATCCAGATCACCCCTCGACACAGGCGCTTTCTGAGATTTGCATTCGAAGGCAAAGTATATCAGTTCACGGTGATGCCGTTCGGGCTAGCGCTGGCGCCGCGCACGTTTACGAAATGTGTGGATGCAGCGCTTTCCCCTCTGAGAGCGAGCGGAATACGCATCTTGAATTATTTGTACGATTGGCTGGTTTTGGCCCATTCGGTTCAACAGCTGAAACCGTGGCGAAACCCCGACCTGTACCACACATCATGCAGCGGAAAGTGGTCACGACGGAAGCGTCAACGACAGGTTGGGGGGCTTATTGCAATGGCGTAGCGGCATCGGGCTACTGGACGGAGTCTGAGAAAAAGTGGCACATAAATTGCCTCGAACTGAGAGCGGTCTTTTTGGCTCTTCTGAGTTTCATCACACAAGTCCGGGAGCATCACGTGTTGATTCGCACAGACAACATGTCGGTGATGTCGAACATAAACCGCCAGGGCGGTGTACACTCGAGAGCCCTTTACGAACAGGCAGCATGCCTTTTACTGTGGGCCGATCGTCATCTGCTCTCCATTCGGGCAGCGCATGTCCCGGGCTGCCTGAACAGCCTGCTATCGAAGGACGGGATTCCTCAAGGAGAGGACTGAACAGGACAGTGAGACTGATCTGGGAATGGTTCGGGAAGGCAGAGGTGGATTTATTTGTGACAGAGGAGTACACGCATTGTCCTCTGTTCTTCTCTCTGTCACGCTCACCCCTGGGCAGGGAGCACTCACGATGCCGTGGCTGAAGGCCCACCTGTATGCATTTCCCCGTTGAAGATTCTGTCACAGGTGCTGCACAAAATCAGAGAGGAGAGAGCATCGGTGTTATGAGTACTGGCCGAACAGGCCTTGGTTTCCCAATCTGCTGGAGATATTAATGGCTCCCCCGTGGCTGATTCCGCTGAGACGGGACCTCCTATCTCAGGCGGGCGGCTCGATATGGCACCCCAATGGTGCAATGTTGAAAACTTCATGTGTGGATGGTGTGCGGGAACTGGTAAACTCTGACTCATTTTCTCGCCGCGTGATGGACACGATTCTACGAGTCGCCTGCATGCTCTTAAATGGGCAGTGTTTGTTAAATGGTGTGAATCGAATGGTCGTGACCCGGAGAGCTGTCCTGTGTCTGACATTCTGGATTTTTTGCAACAGCGGCTGGACAGCGGCAGTATGCCTTCCACTCTTAAGGTTTATGTTGCAGCTATCTCAGCATTTCACGCCACTATCGACGGGCGCTCGGTGGGTAGACACGATCTGGTGATCAGATTTTTGAGAGGTGTGAGATGGCTAAGACCCTCTCGTCCTCCCACTGTGCCATCCTGGGATCTTGCTCTGGTGCTGAGGGTGCTGGCCCTTTTGCTCTTCGAGCCGCTTCTGTCTGTTGGATTGAGAGAGTTATCGCATAAAACCGCACTGTTGCTCGCCCTTGCGCCCTCAAGTGCGTGGGGGGATTTACAAACATTCTCTGTAAATGCTGACTGCATGCAGTTTGGACCAGGTGATTGTAACATTACGCTGAAGCCAAGATTGGGCTACGTGCCTAAATCATTTTCGACACCATTCAGAGCGCAAGTGGTGATGCTTTCTGCTTTCACTCCAGAGTCAGCGACCTCATCGGATGCCGCCCCTCATCAGGTGCTATATCTGGTGCAGGCTCTGCGAGTTTAGTTTACTTTGACCGCACGGCTCAGTTTCGGCAATCTGAGAAGCTGTTCGCGTGCTTTGGAGGCGGCACCAAGAGGCAGCCGGTCTCCAAACAACGACTATCACATTGGGTGGTAGATGCCATTGCCTTGGCCTATTCTAGCCAGGGTATGGAATGTCCTATTTGTGTCAGAGCCCATTCGACGAGGGCAATTGCCCCATTCAACTAAGGGCGTTTTTATCAAAGACATTTGTATGACGGCTGGATGGTCTTCGCAGAATACCTTCGCCAGATTCTACAATTTGGACGTGTGGTCATTAGCTGAGCTTTTTTCTTCGCTGTTCCCACGGCGTTGTTCTATACAGTCCCCAAAAGCGTCAGCTTCTGACGCCATGTCGAGAGACCATTCTCGAGAGGGAACGTCTCTCGGTTACTGTCGTAACCTCAGTTCCCTGGTAGACGGGAACGAGACATGGCATAGGCTGCCGTGTTCACTACTCAGGTCTGCTGTGCTGTTGATTCAGTCGGAAGATTCTGAGCTTATGCCGCCAAGACGGCGCATTATATAGCGGCGGGGGCCCCGCCCCTATTCGCCGTCTTGGCTGGCATTGGCCAGTGAGAGTTGCAACTTCACTGGTGCTGTGCAATAAGATTTCAGGTAGGTTTAGGAAGGAAGGGAGTCCCCAAAAGCGTCAGCTTCCGATGCCATGTCTCGTTCCCGTCTCTCAGGGAACCGAGGTTACGACAGTAACCGGAGACGTTTTATGTTTTGGAAACTTCAGTTCAGTTTTTCAATACAAGTTTGTTTGTATAACATTTTTACACAGATACAAAACAGCTACACAGAAAATGCACAGTTACAGTCAGGACGTTTTTTGTTACTGGTCACTCAGAGATGAGTATGTCAAAGTAACTTCCATATGGCAGTAAAGTACATCTATAACATTTAGATAATACAGGTTATATGGTTAGTAAACATCATGTATTTAATTAAGCAGACATAATGAACATATTAGACAATGATTGCAGCTTGTGGTCATAATGGTCACAAGATAACACTTTACAAAGATTCCATTAACTAACAATGAGCAACACATTTTATAATGTAGCCTGTAGCTCTACTACAGGTTACATTATATAAAAATTAATAAATAGCCTCTTTGTTAACGATCTGTTCATCACATACTCTGTGACTTTCTTACTTCTTGTTGAGTTTTTTTTTTTTCTTTGCTTGTGACCATCGAACTAATTAAAATTTGGTCGACTAAGCCTCTTCTCATTAACTAGGGCTGCCCTTAACTCTTTTAAGGGGCAGCCCTAAAGAAAAGTATTAAGATCAGATGGCACGACCTATAAAAAAAAAATGTGTGTTATGCTGGGTATGAAAGTGAGACAAGATGGATCCAAATAAAAGCAGACTTTATTAACAAGATGGAGAAACAAACATGAGTAATTCACAGAACAATGAGCAACACATTTTTTTTTTTTACAATATTTATTCATCCTTGTTTACATTAGTTACTAAAAATTCCAAGAGTGCTGAGATTTCATCAATATCAGCACTATGACTTTTGTAGCACTCTGCTTCTCTCTGTGAGTTCTAGACAAGCTGTCAGTCTGTGTGTCAGAGGTTTAGGATTTTTCAGTGACTTTAGTGCAGGTTATGGTAACAACAAGTGAGTGTCTGTATAAGTTTATTTTAAGGTGTCCTTGTTACACGTTACATGTACTTACTATTATAATAGCAATACATTTTACATGCAAGTAACCCTAAGCTAACCCTAAGCTAAACCTTAATCACAATTCGAGTCATGGGTCGTGGACCTTTCCCGATCATGTCCCCCCTCTCTCTCTCCCACTTCCCTATTCTAATACAAAGGAAAAAATGCCAAAAATAAATCAAGATTAATTCA